GCGTTTGTGTATACATGCATATATATATATATATATATATATATATATATATATATATATATATATATATATATATATATATATATATGTATATGTGCGTGTCTGTACATATATTCTATATCTTTTGTATATATATATATACATGTAAGAAAAATATACGGAAAAATCAAACAAAATCCTAATATACAATTATGCTGTTTTAATGTTAGTATAATGTCAACGTCGGACGTTTCGGTCTAGTAGACCATCTTCAGGACATATTCATAAAACATAATTAACATTAGACTATATTTAATTAATTATGTTTTTATGAATATGTCCTTATACTAGATGAAACGTCCGACGTTGACATTATATTAACATTAAAACAGCATAATTGCATATAAGGATTTTGTTTGTTTTTCCGTATATTTTTCTTCATACTGTCGGATCTATATCCATATATTTGCTTACATGTATATGTGTGTATGTATATATATGTGTGTGTATGTATATATATGTGTGTATATGTATATGCGTACGTGTGTATGTATATATATGTGCGCGTGTATGTATATATATGTGCGTGTGTATATGTATATATGCGTGTTATGTGTGTGTGTGTGTGTGCGTCTGTATATCGATATACAGGGCGTATCAAAAATAGATTTACAAACATTAGGGCGGATTCATCACGCTAAAACGAGGAGAAAAGTCTACGTAAACATATGTCCGCAAATATCTTTCGTTTCTGAGTTATGTTTAAAGAAATTTTACGGTAGATGGCGCTGTGTTACCTTATTGACGAGGTTACATTTGTCATTCGTGTACATTTGTGGCTAGTCCGTCTCCAACGTTCAACGGGTGTAGTAGTGAGTTAACTGAGAAGTGTTCTGTTTAAAAACGGCGGGATATTTATATCGTGGGCAGGCAGATATGCTTTTTGCATATGTCCGCGCGAATGGTATCAGGCGCGAGGCTGCACGGCTGTATCTGAGCATCTCCAGACCGAAAGTAGCTGAGTCATCCAATCTTTGCTGCTGTTTATCGTCGCGTTGCTGAAACATAATCCCTGGCACCACAAACTATGGATCCAGAAAGACCGAAATCCGTTTTTAGGCCTGACCACGAAGAACACATTCTACAGGTGGTCCGAGACAATCCAGGTATTAGCACACGTCTAATGTCCCTAGAATGTCGTACATCTCATATTACCGCGCCGGGGGGTACTTTGTAACGTGTACAGGGTCTTTCGCATACTGATCACTCACCATGGGAGAACTTTTGTTGATGGTTTATTGCACGTTCTGAACCGTTGTTTGTCGCTTTAGACTTGTTTACGGATAAGACAACATTTAGAAAAGATGGGATAACAAATTTGAACAACCAAAATTTGTGGGCGGATCGGAATCCCCATGGTAAAGTACAGGCTTGACACCAGCATCAGTTTACGGTGTGGGCTGAAATTGTAGGTGACTGTCTGGTAGATCCATATTTTCTCCCATCACGTCTTACAAGAGCTGTCTACAGGGGATATTATTTCGATCACACTTCCAGCGGTATATCACACACACACACACACACACACACACACACACACACACACACACACACACACACACACACACACATATATATATAAATAATGTATGGCATATATATGATGTATGGCATATATATATTTAATTAATTCATCGAGTCTGATAGAAACCTCAACAGAAAGCACTGGACGGCCGTTTCGTCCTATATTTGGGACTCATCAGCAGTGCGCATCCACTACCGAGAATTGAAACCCTGACAGTTAGGTTGTCAAGCGGACATCATACCAACTCGGTGACGAGGAGATTCCAAATCAGACTCAACTTAGCGCTGCTCGCTCACATATTCCGTGGCGGAACTCAACTGAGTTCTCTGTAACCATAGGACCGTGCCTCCTGGAGCCACGACTACTCTCACCAAGCCTCTACCAACTGGAGCATTAGAAGCAGGTTCAAGCGATGATAAACACAAACACACACACACACACACACATATATATATATATATATATATATATATATATATATATATATATATATATATATATATATAATAATTTCGTGTTTTCGAACAGGAGAAATAATAAAATGTGTGCATACGTGTGCAGACAGAAGCGCAGTTCATTTTGAACATCTGTTATGGGTTTCTGTTTTGAGGGAGGAAGATGACCTTTTGGATATACGTTTATATGGACATTTCATCTTGTTCTCTGTCAGAAACCCGCTCCCAAAGTTTGTAAAAATATTTTTGGATTCAATCTTGGATTGTACATTTATTAACGTCTACCGTAAACGTTAAACTTCATAACTCATAAACGAAGGATTTGCAGGCAGGTTTACAAGAACTTTTGATCTTGTTTTGGTACGAGGAAACCACCTTCATTTTTGTTACACCCTGTATATATATGTAATGTGTATATTGATAGCTATATACATATACATACACGTGCGTTTCTGTTTATATATATATATATATATATATATATATATATATATGTATGTGTGTGTGTTGACATATGTATATGTTTGTGTGCGCTTACATATATATGTGTGTGTTTTTACATATTTGGGTGCATGTATTTATATATATATATATATATGTGCGTGTGTGTCTGTATATGTGTTTACATATGTGTGTGTTTGTTTTTACATACATGTGTATTTTACATATATGCGTGCGTGTATTTACATATATTTATGTGTGTGTGATTACATACATGCATATATCTGTATGTGTATATATATATATATATATATATATATATATATATATATATATATATATATATTAAAGGAATTTAGATATATATTTACATACACACACACACACACACACACACACACACACACACACACACATATATATATATATATATATATATATATATATATATATATATATATATATATATATAATATTAGTGGAAAATATACATACATATGCAAAATATATAAATACCCATACGTATATTTTTATGAAAAAAAAAAAATCCAAGAGGATAGAATCCAGGTAGAACTCAATGTCCAGGACAGAGTAAGGATATAATAAAAAGGCTTAAACACTAATATTCTATGGTCATAATTTATTCCATTGGAATCGTAAATACGATCTAATTCATCAGACCTTAGTGTTTAAGCCTTTTTATTATATATATATATATATATATATATATATATATATATATATATATATATATAAATTAATTAAATTAAGACTATTGTTAATTTTGAGCAATGCAAAGTTTTTTGATCTTATTAAAATGCCAGAAGCACCATCTTACGAAGCAACCGTTCGATTCTGGAAAATTCAAACTTGCGCTTAAGTTGATAACACTGGATTTTTAACCCAAGATAACTGACCCCTATTTTTGGGCGAAAGGGAGGCAAAAATGAACAGCCATATTACAAGAATAGTTTAAGAAAGCACAATGAATAACATGAACGGATGAGATATTTTTATAGTATCGTTCCTATAGTACAAGGCTCGTTTCTTCTCTCTCCAGACTTTCCTCCTCCTTTCGTCTTTTGCTTTTACAATATTTTTTCTCTCTCATCTGTTCTTTCTCCGTCCATCCTCTCACTTTACAGTCCAAGTTTTTTTTTTTATATCTCTCTCTTTCCTTTCCCTCTCCAGTCATTCATATCTTTCTCTTCCGTCTCTTCCCTCTCCAGTCATTACCATCTCTCACCTGTCTCTTTTCTCTCCACGTATTCCCCACTCTATGTCGTCTCCTCTCTCTAGTCATTTTTTCCCGTCTCTCTCGTCTTTTCTCTCTCCAGTCATTTCTCTCTCTGTCCCGTATCCACCGTCTCTTTTCTCTCCAGTCACTTCCCTCATTCTCTAGTCTCTTCTTTCTTCCTTTTTTTTTCTCTCCCCCGTAGTTCTCCCCTCTCTCTCTCTCTCGTCATTCCTACTTTCTCCCGTCTCTTCCCTCACCAGTCATTCTCTTCTCTTTCCCGTCTCCTCTCCCCAGTCATTCCCTCTCTCTCTCCCGTCATTCTCTTTCCTATCCTTCTTCTCCCATCTATCATTCCCTCTCACTTCCATTATCTCTCTCGTATCTTCTCTCTCCCGTCTCTTTTCTTTCTAGTAATTTCTTTGTTTCTCCCGACTCTCTCCCTCTCTCCCGTCTCTTTTCTCTCCAGTCACTCCCCTACCTTTTCAGTCTCTTCATTCTCTCCCTTTTTCTCTCGCCAATAATTTCCATCTTTCTCACGCCAGTCCACTCTTTCTCCCATCTCTTCCCTCTCCTGTCATTCCCACTCTCTCCCGTCTCTTCTCCTCCCAATCTTTTCTCTCTCCCGTCTCTCGCCTTCTCCAAGTCATTCCTTCTCTCTCTCTTCATTCCTTTCCCTACCCTGTTTCTTCTCTCTCCTGTCATTCCATTCTCTCTCTCTCGTATCTTCTCTATCCAGTCATTCACCTCTCTCTCTCTTTCTTCTGTCTCTTCTCTCTCCAGGCATTCCCCCCTCTCTCTCTTCTGTTTCTTCTCTCTCTAGTCATTCCTATCTCACTCCTATCATCCCCTTTTCTCTCCCGTATCTTCTCTGTTCAGTCATTCTTCTGTCCACTTTCTCTCTCTCCCTCTCTCTCTCTCTCCCCTCTCTCTCTTCCGTCTATTCTCTCTCCACTCTGTCTTTTTTTCTCTCCAATATTTACCTCTCTTTCTTGTCTCTTTCTCTCCAGTATTTCCCTTTCTGTGTTGTCTCTTCACTATTCAGTCTTTCCTCTCTCTCTCTCTCTTCAAACTTCCCTCTCTCTGTATTTCCTTCCTCTCTTAACCCTTTCCTTTCCAATATAACGTTTTTGCATCCTCTCTTTTTTCCATTTCCTCTCTCTATCGCCTATGTCTTATTCATTAATTGCTCCCTCTCTCCTCTCTTTACTCTTTTCTTTCTTTTCTCTTTTACTTTATCTCCTCTCTCTACTCTCCACTTCTTCTATATCCCCTTTCGCTTTTAAACTTCCTTTCAATCTTTCTCATGCTTCTCCCATTCTTTTCTTTCCCGCTTTCTTTATCTATTAACGTTTTCATGCAAACTTATATTTTTAAATGCCTATATAATACTTTCTTCTGTCTTTGTCCATCTGACGCTTTTGTCAGTGTGTCATTTTCAGCTTCTGCGTCTCTTTTGTCAGCTTCTGCAGTCACCAAATGCAATGCACCATCAACACAACCTCAAACTGCCCACAACCTTAATCTAGCCCCCGTCCACTCCGTTGTTGTCGTCGTCTTATGTCAGCGGCTCTTACTCGGTACATGTTGACAATAACACCAATATACTAGGCAGTCGTAGATCAGTCGTAATATACAATCGAGCCGAGGGATAATGAGCACTTGACGGGGGCTATTTTTTAATTTTTATTCTTGCTTTATTAAATTGCAATATGGCGTCGGTAATTATGTTTCTATTGGTTGGAAATCGTAAAACGGAAGACCGAACGAATGGATGAAATGGAAAAAGAGAATAAACGAAAAGAAAGGATTTAGAATAAAATGAAAGGATAAAAATGATTTAAATAACCAAATTGGAAGGAAAATAATGAAAACTGATTTAAAAAATAGCATGAAATGAAATATGTGCGAATAGAAACGAAAGCAAGGAAGAAATATATTTAAGATGTTTACAATGTAATGGAAGAAAGAGATGGATGTATTGAAGAAATCAGGGAGTGGTGGTCGAAGAAGAAAGAATGAAAGATAATTTGCTATCAATGTTGCTTGGTACAATCGATCTCTGCGATTATCTATTAGGGTGTCATAGACGAAATGATGAAAACCTTTCTAGGAAATGAATAAAACCTTTCTGGATTTATTTAGTTGAAATAGGCGCCATGTTGATGAATAACTGTTCTCCAATGTACCTGTAAATTCTTGATCCCATCTTTAAAATAATTCTCATCCTTTGATGTGATAAACAGTTCAAATGCTTCGATTACACCTTTCTCATTGGGGAATTTTTTTTAATTGTCTATGAAACGCTCAAAGTGCTTAAGTAAATGATGATCAGTAGAAGAGATATCAGGTTAATATGGAGGATAAGTCAAAATTTCATAATTCGGGCTATGTAGATTTTGGACAGTTGTTTGAGAAGAGTGCGGACGTGTGTTGTCGTGCATCAAAATAGGGCCATGTTTATTCCCACGTTTCTTTTTTGTGCATACACTCAATTTTTCGGCAATTCGAGATTGCTATTATTGTTTCTCCTTGAGGCAAGAATGAATAATAAATAACCCCTTTGAAAGACCCCCATACAGTAACCATAAACTTTTGAGGAAGTACTAGACTGCATTATTTTGGTGATTCACTTGCATCTAACCACGTCTAAAATCTTACTGTTGTCAAAGATGTCTCGACGCATATAATGATTCTATCCAAAAAATAGTTCTTTTTCCCAGTTTGTACTTATTAAGTAACGTTACTCGACATTGTTTCATTGTAATCATTTTCATTGGGCTTATGAGTAACAATATATTGAAAGGAAAAAAGTCAGTAAGATTTTTTACATATTAGGAGGTTACTTCGGGTTGTAGAGTAGTTTTCACAGTGGAGGCTTGTATTTCGCTAAGTCGGTCCTAAAAGGGGTCCGAAGTACAAAACGTTAGGAACTTGAAATAAGAGTTAATGACGCAGCAATCTAGTTGTGATGGTTGATACTTCAATGTCCGACATCGACTGCCTCACTCAACTCCACTGAGCTCAACTGGCCACTGCTACTACTACTTATCATCTGGGGGAGAGTCTATTACAATAGAATAGGTAATGTTCTGGTATAACACTTCGTTAGACGACCAGATCAACAACCAACCAAAAAATGCGTCATTTCAGGTGTGACAACCCAATACATCATGATCGATTAAAATAATAAACTTTACGTATTAATATCTATTGTTGTTTAGCTACTGAATTACGGATACGGGGCAAAAAGTGATGGATCACTTTTATATTGTTACAAAGTCATTATCTGATATATTTAACCATTATAAAGGTGGGGGTCAGGCACGTACAACAATTTAAATATCTTGGGAAGTGTTTTAACACAAGACGGTAAGTGTGACACTGAAATCCGTAAGTACATTGGCATGGCGAAAACTGCCTTCCAAAAGTATTAAGAAGGAATAAAAAATCGTTAGAGACAATGAAAAGAGTACTGAAATGTTATGTAACATGAGTCCTCGTATATCGAAGTGAATGCTGGACAATCTTCTCACAAATGATGAAGAGACTAAACGCAACAGATATGTAGTTTCACAGAATGATACTGACAATACCAATACCATGGACATGAGAAAAACGACGAAAAGTTTTGAAGAAGATGGAAACAAAAATGGCACATACTTAACATCAGTAAAAGACAGTAGACATTTCTAGGGCACATAATGAGGAAAGAGGGTTTGGAAATTTTGATACTCACGAGGAAGATTGAAGGCAAGAAACACAAAGGAGAACAACGCATAACTTATTTACACTATTTATATTATTCGGACTGTTTACATTTATTGACATATTAACAATGTTTCGGCCGTTGTATGCTCCGGTCATCCTCAGATAATATTTCTTGGAATTTCGAACCAAACATTTTATTTAGTCCATGGTGGTAGATTCGAAATCCCAACAAATACCACTTGAAGAAGGCCGAACAACGGCTGAAACGTTGTGAATATGACAATGGAAATGAAAACAACAGAAGAATGTAAATAATTACAATACTTCATCTCCGATATATAGGCAAGCACATAACTTATCTCACAAACTTGTGTAAATGGATAGTGGAACCAGGTTTAAGAGAGATCACAAAAAGACAAAATTTATTAAGCGCCACAAAGGACAGGAAATTGTGGCGAGGCATGATCGCCAACGTCCTGAAGGGACACGACTTATTTAACTTAACTGCAAGACAATTACTATTAACCCGATATATCAAGTTTATAAATCATATTTCTCTCATAGCTATATATCTATCTACACACACACACAGACGCACACACACACACACACACATATATATATATATATATATATATATATATATATATATATATATATAAAGATAAAAGAAAAACTTATCTTAGCCAACGCGTTTCGTCCACTAAGAGACTTTATCACGGCAAATGTGAGAGGATTTATTCATAGTACACATTTTACAGATACAACCTGTCTGAATTTTTTAGACACACACACACACACACATACACATACACACACACACACACGCGCGCGCACACACACACGCGCGCGCGCACACACACTCATCAGGAATCTCGTGAACCATTAGGGTCGTAGTAGCAGTGGTGTTTCTTGGCAAGATGGCCTGACGGATCCTAACGCTCTCCAGGACGGTTGCCACCCAAGAAAAGGGGGAGAAGAAGGGGATTCATACCTACCCTAAGGGTCTTCGTAAGTCAATGTAATGGATCCGACTGGAATTCGAACTCGGCTCTACGAGTCCTCAGACGTGACTATTATATATATATATATATATATATATATATATATATATTTGTGTGTTAGCATAAATAAATATATATTATATAAGTAAACACACACAAACGTGTATATATATATATATATATGTTTGTGTGTTTACATATATATATATATATATATATATATATATATATATATATATATATATATATGTATTGGTGTATTTTAACATATTTTTACACAGAATTAATTTCAACTCGAAACTAATTATTGAAGGTGGCAGAAAAGATGAATTCTGAATTATCTAATGCTAAATTAAAAAAATAACACCAACTCATTGCATTTTTTTCAGGAATTCACGGAAATTGATAACTTTGATTTTAAATTGAGTTGAAATTAGTTCCGATGTGAAATTAATTTTCGAGTTGAAATTAGTTCCGAGTTGAAATTAATTCCGAGTTAAAATTAATTCCGAGTTGAAATTAATTCCGAGTTAAAATTAGTTCCGAGTTGAAATTAATTCCGAGGTGAAATTAGTTCCGAGTTGAAATTAGTTCCGAGTTGAAATTAGTTCCGAGTTGAAATTAGTTCTGTCACTCTTTTGGACTATCGAGGCTTGCAGAGTAAGGTCAGGGCAGCTCCTGTCCGAATATAACAATAGTACTTCATTTTTGGCCCGAACTGGCACTTTTAAAGGTAGATGTTGGCACGCAGAGTCAGATACTTACTGGACCGGTACCGGGAGCCGCCCATTTTACCTGCATCCTTGGCGATGCTCCGTATGTACGAGTTCCACTTGAGAACAGGAGTGCATAGCTCTATTTCTTTACTATTGAATAATGAATCCAATCTACCAAGTAAATATAAGTGATATTTCTTTCTAGATAATTTCTCAGGTACTTTTACATACACCAGTGGTAAAATGCTTTCGTCTTCTGTCCCTGTTGAGGTGGCTATCGTTCCCTAGAAGTATAAAAATGTACCGGCTCATAAGTGTTATTTTAATTCAACGGTAAGTTTTACACACAGAAATTTGGCATAGTGATGGTCGCATCACTCAGAGTATTGGCATATCTCTTCCTAGAATTTTTAGAATCTTGTCCTTTTCATAGCATTTACACCAAAATGCGAATATATTCATACTGCAGTTTCGTGATCGGACAATTGAATTTTCTATTTACAGCACATTAATATAGATGCAAAGCTTTCTCTTCTGAGGAACACATGCACAAGCGGATTGTTTTACGTCTATATATTCTACGCCCAAGCTATTTTCGGTATCTAAATGCAGTTTGTGTAACATTTACCCAGTTCTGTTTACATAGACTGACGATGATCTGCATGTCCAGTCATGTTTGCTATTTGAGTCGGCCACCTTGCATCTCTTTCTTTAACCTCTTAAATCGCCTCACATTTGAACATCACACAATCCTGTTCGCTATTTCATGCTATTATCGCCCACATTACTGCTCCACAACCATAACTAGCTTTTTCTCGGGTCTCACATCAGCATTTCCAGCCCGGCAAAGAAAAAGAACTTTCACACCATCAAGCAACTACTCGTATCGAAAGAGCGTTCATAGTGACAAAGCTTGAATCTAGAGTCCTTAAGGTCTACAAAGATTACTAATTGTTTTACTATAGACGTTTACTAGGCGCAGCTAATCTGGCACAAGGCTACAATAGTTGGGTATGTAACGAAACTCAATATTGTAGCAATATTTTTTTTTGTATTTTGTATTTACTCCCCCCCCCGACGAGGTCAGGTCGTGACACAAGGTCGGTTTAATGTGGGAGCTCGAGTATAGGT